GGGGGCCCCCCGGCCGCTCTGGCCGCAGCAGCAGCTGCCCGAGCTGGCCCAGGCGCCGCTGCTCACAGACGCCCTGGTGCACGCTCCCGCACACCACCAGGGCCCCCGGGCTCACCAGGAGCAGCTGGTTTGGGTTGTCAGTGGGCTGGGCCTGGGGGCACTCCTCGGGCATCACGGGCGGCAGGCAGTCCCTGCTGTCCAGCACGGGGCCGGTAGGCACCGTGGCCTCTAGCTGCAGCCCAGCGCTCAGCTGGAACAGGAAGTTGGTGGCCCCTAGGTAGAGGGTGCCTGAGGCGGGGTCCCTGGCCAGATGCTGCAGCTGTGTGCCGTTAGGTGTAAATGCGGCCGGTGGAGGGGGCTGGAGGGCGAGGACCCACCCGGCCCAGAGCGCCTGGAGAAGAGCTGGGCCGAGGGCAGGCATGGTCACCTGGCAGAGAAAGAGGTCGAGCGGGCTCACGTGGCACCTGAGGACGCCGGGGCCACTAGTGAGGGGCAGGGCTGAGGCACTGCCGAAGCAGGGGGTGGAGAGGCAGCAGGTGTAGGCAGGCACCGTGGTCCAGCGTGGCCCAGGAGTACCCACCAGGGGTCAGAGACGAGACACGGTCCCTGGGAGTGTCAACCAGCCTCTGAGAGCACTCCTCTCAGACCACCCTTCTTCCCCATCGCCCTGGACCACCCCGAGACCCGAGGGGGGCTCCAAGGGGGGATCCCCTAGGGAGCAGGGCCCAAAAGGCACAGGTGATGGGAAAGAGGGGCCCAGAACCCCGAGGAGAGGCCCCACCCCCTCGCACGATGTTGGTTTTCTGGCTGGAAGAGCGAGGGTGAGGGTGATGGGCCACCGGCCTGTTACAGCAGGACAGGAAAGCCACACGGGGAAGAGCCACACGGAAGCCAGGGCAGGAGAGGCGGCTGCCCCACTGCCCCGGAGCCGAGGTGTGAGGGCAGGCTCACCTGGCAGGGCCGGCTGGGTCAGGAGACAGCTGCATGACCTGTGTAGCAGTCACCTGGCTGGGGGAAAGCAGAGCGTGACGCCAGGGGCTGGCCGCGGGCATTGGGCACCCCGGGCTCCTCACAGCTGAGGCACCCCCTCCCCACTGCCCCAGCTTGCTGGTGGAGCTGGCCCGGCCTGGCCCTCCGCCACCAAACACATTCCACAGAGGACGCCTCCTCGGAGCCCACACGGGGAGGGGGAGGGCAGCAGAGCCAGGCACCCCAGGGGCCTGGGAAAGGTCAGCTATGAAGAAGCCTCGTGGCTGGCAGGGCCCAGCCGGGCCCCAGCATGGCCCTGTCCCCAAGGTCCCTTCCTCTAGGGCCTCTCCGGTCCCACCCTCTGCCCTGTCAAGGCACCCAGCTTCCACCCTTCACATCAGCCAAAGCTGCTCTAGCCCAGCACACTGGCAAATGCACGTGCACACACACATGCACACACTCACGTGCACACGCACACACACTCTCACACACAGGTGCAGACAGACACAACCTGAACACAGCACAGATGCGCGTGCACACACGCACACACAGGTGCAGACAGACACAACCTGAACACAGCACAGACGTGCACACAGTGACAGGCAGACACAGGGCACCAACGTCAAGACACCACATAATGACACCCACGCACACAGAAACACACCAGACACACGGTCTGCATTCGTCACACTCACCCACCCGACACCCACACACAGACCACGCACACGGCCCTGGTCTGAGCCCTGAGCGCAGAGAGCTGAGGAGGCCAGGCCATCCCTTGCTCTTTTGCCCTGCAGGTCAGGACCCAGGATATGGGGTGGGAGGGAAGGGTGTCCTGGAGAAGTCACCCTACCCCAGGACCTCCCTAGACTTGGGTGCCTGCTGTCCTCACAGACCCGCCCTGCAGGCCCCAGCTGAGGCTCCTGAATCCCAGAGCTGAGCAACCATGGAACACCACCGTCCCCGAAGCCCAGCAGTGCCCAGCCAGGAGCACCAGGGTTGGCAAAGTGCTGGTACAAACCATGCATTCCAGGGAGGGAGGCACTTCCCAGTCGCCTGTGCCCGGCCCACGTGGCCCAGCCCCTCCTGCCACCCAGCTGCCAGGCAGTCTGTGCAGGGCTGCTACCCTCGGGCCAGGTCTGCTCATCCCAGCAGAAGCCTCAGCTGGGTGACCCCAAGGCTGTCCCTAAGGGAACAGAGCTGGGCCCAGGGCTCAGAAAAGGGCCCAACAGCCTGGTGGGAGCAGGGACACTGTGGCCACAGCCTGGTGGGAGCAGGGGGGCCATGGCTACAGCTTGGCTGGGCACTGCTCCCGAAATAGCTTGGGGGTTTCCATTTTTAGTGTGCAGAGAACAGGGCAGCTCTATGGGAGCAGGAACAAGGCTGCCTCTGTTTGCCACCCAAGGGGGCGGTGGGGGGGCATGGGGGTGGCAGGGAAAGTCCCGAACCGGCCAGAATCCCAGGACTGCAGTAAGGCCAGGCTGCCCAGGAGCCCCCCACCTTGTTTCCAAGGAATGGGGAGAGAACGTTTCTTCCTCCGGGAGGACAAGGCCTGACTGAGGATGGGCACAGGCTACTTCCTGCACTCGGCTCCTGAGTACTCCTGCCAGTCTGTGCCAGGGTGTGCCGCGGGCACAGGGTCCCACAGTCAGGCTGACATGCACTCGAACTGCTTACAAATATTTGCTCAGAGCCTACTGCATGCCAAGGATCTCGGGCCCTCAAGGGGCAGCCGTAAACCACTCCCCAGATGTGAAACCACAGCAGGGGGCAGGACCAGGACAGCTCCTGGCCTAGGCCACACGGAAGGTTGGAGGGGCCGCCAGGGAGCACTGTCCAGTTTTTCTAATCAGACTCCTGCCCAGAGACAGGCTGGTACTCTTCCCCTTCCCTGCATACCACTGGG